GGGCCACTCCGGGACGTCCGCGAAAAGCCAGGAGGGAAGCGTATAGATAGTAGAGGCGTATAGATAGATGAAAAGGAGGCGCGCGAGCGGGAGGAGAAGCGTGACACGCGTGCGGCAACCGCCTCGCGGCACCGAAGATGGAGGAAGGTCGGTGGGGGCGGGGGCAAGCTGTCTGCGCGGGTAGATAGCTGCTCGAACGGCATGGCAGCGTATAGACACGGCTTGGCACATCTCCAGGGCATTGTCTTTTTACGATGACAAGTAGCCCGGAGGGCTGATGCGATGCACACGAGCATAAGGGCGGCCTCCGGAGAAAGAAAATCGCGACGCTCGAAGAAAGGAAAACATCGCCCGCGCCGACCTGAGGCTCGAATCGACGTGGGTCAACGTTCCGCCGAGAGGGAGACACTTTTCTTTCGCTTTTCCTCGGAGTCCATCTTTTTTCCACCTTCCCCCGGTCGCTTTTAGATCAACGGGGATATAAATACGGACGCAATCGGTGCACCGCTCGCGCGAAGGGAGCGACGATCAACGGATGCGACGCCGATCGCGGACGTGCTTTTCGCGGGGCGTTCGCGTGACACGCTTCCGCGACGAAAACAGTCGAAACGAGGGGTATCGTTATCGCCGGCCGCGACCTCGGACAACGCATAGATCGTAAACTCGACGCGATGAGGAAAAAGCGGCAGGCACTAGGGACCGTCGTAAACATCCACTGAGCCGGGATAGGGGGGATCGTGGTGCGGACTATTCTGCTGGCGTGGTCGTGACGGGACGACGTCAACTCGAACCATTCGTCGCGTCTCGTCGTGTCCCGTCCGTCGCAAACACAGCCGGCGTGCCAGTGGAAAAGTTCCGGCGGAGGAAATCTTCCACGCCCGGGCTCGGTCCGTCGGAAACGAGATCGACCGGCGATCGATCGATCGCGATTTGTAGCTGTTGCACAGTTGATAGCAGCCGAGCGACACTGGCTACGTCTTTTGACATTCTTATAAAGACCATTCTTTAAAGGTCTTCTCGCTTTTCCACCCTTTGCACTGGAAGACCAACTCTTTGCCATCGTTTGATTCTATATAGGATAATTAGAAAGGCTTATAAGCGATGGTACGCTTCGTGCAATGCATCAATGAGCGAAATATTGAAACAGCTTTGTTCCTTAATGTATGTACACTCTTTCATTAGTTTGAATTAACGCTAAACCTATCGAGCAGTTACATTACTTTAATTGATTTACAATTCAGTTTCGCTAAATCAATTTCTTGAATAATTTCTCGGAGATATCTGCTGTCTTAACCCTTTGCACTCGAGAGGCGACTCTCAGTTACCACTTAATTCGATACAACAAAAATATAAAGTTGAATATTTAATATTTCAAATGAAACATCGCACTGTTACGTGCAATATTGAAATAAACCACCTTTGTCGCTTAATTTATCTATGAATCATCGTTAAACGAGTTTCAAACAATATCACCTATATCTCGTCGAAAAGTGTTGAATATTTCCATTGAAAAACTTTCGAGTGCAAAGGGTTAATAATTGCAGAAAGAAGAAATCGCATAGGTCATTTTGATCCGTCTCGTATGTTCATCTTTAAAGAATGCGAATTAAACGTTCCCAATGGAACACTTTCGAGTGCAAAGGGTTCAATTCGGTATTCGCGAGTTTCGACAGGCGCCCGGCCAGAAATCCGCTTCAATGGCTGAAATAAGCGTCCACGGCACCGACGGCCGGCGCTACGTGGTCAGCGCGCGATCGTGAAAGTGCACGGTCGCGTGTTAGCCCCACGTAATGGCGCCGCGTGGCTTATTCCACTGCGGTCGCACGCAGATGGCGGCGGAGGCGGCGGAACGGTCTGTTTATACGAGTCCTCGAGGGACGCGATGCGCCGCGGATAACAGATCACCGCTGCCGATAAAGGGTTACTGACTCTCC